GGAAACTTGGACAGCTCTGGCCAACAACTTAAAAGAGGGCTTGTTTGTTTGGTTAGTTTGTTTTGGTGTTTTGTTTTGTTTTGTTTAGTTTTTCAGGACAGGGTTCTCTGTGTAGACCCGGCTGTCCTGGAACTAGTTTTGTAGACCAGGCTGCCCTTGAACTCACAGACATCTGTCTGCTTTTGCCTCTCAAGAGCTAAAATTAAAGGTATATATCATATGTCTGGTTTTGGGGTTTTGTTTTGTTTGTTACATGGTCTTTAGGTCTTGGCGGGAGCATTGTCAGCCAAGATAAGAAAAACACATTAAAATTAAATGCATATATTTATGCACAGAATCACACGTATGGTCATTTTTGGTTTTGGGGCTTTTTTTTTTTTTTTTTTTTCTTCTTGGCAAATAGTATGATTCCTTGGGGCATTTTCAGGCATCCTCGCTGTTATCTTACCCACCTCCTCCTTCTCTCTTTAAAAGAAAACCCACAGCAATTATGTTATTGAAACCAAATGCCATCCCTATGTCTGTCTAATAATACCCAAAGAGAATAGAAGGTTTTACTCGCTGATTCACCCTTGGTGAAAGGGATGCACCTCAGGACCCAGTTGTCAGCACAAAGGAGAGTTATTTGCCCCAGAGGACAGAAGACAGGGAACAAGAAACAAAGGCAGGGGAAGGGGAAGGGGAAGGAAAAGAAAGGCCTTGGTCCACAGGGGTGGTTTATAAAGGTAAAGGGGGAACCCTGTGTCAGGATGAGGTGTTAATTTTGTTTGAACATGTTAGGGCAGCCAAAGGGAGCTTTTGATTGCTGGATTTTCAATACTTTGATATCTGGATCTTGGTGACTATCTTTTGGAATGTAATCTTAACAAGGCAGAGGGAATGGGGGAAGGGCAAGGCTTGCCAGAGCCATGTTTGTCATTCATGCTCAGACGGGCAAGAGCCTTTCACTTAAGCTTATACACTCTCATATGATGTCATCCCTAAAGGCCCAGGTTACACTTTGAGCAATTGAACAAAGACAGGAGTTTAAATTTGCCACTTAGGTGGATGAGAGATTTACACAATGAAACCACTGTCAGAATTCATTCTTTCTTTCCTTTGTTGCTGTTTTTTGAGACAGGGTTTCTCTGTGTAGCTTGGCTGTCTTACCTTACCTAGAATTATTATTTAAGAACACCCATTTTGTTCTTTTCAAATAGTTGTTACCTGGGGTCAGCTTGCCCATTTGGCAGAACTGTGCTTTTCTCAAGAAGAGAACTAGGAAATTGATGGTAGTTGGGACTTAAGATTGGTTGTGATGTATTTTGCTTTCAAGCTGCCCATTAGAGGCAGGTTCTTTGGGGATGGGCCTAATGGTTGGTCAGTCTTGAGGAACAAACATGTACACCCTAGATCACAGATTCTGCATCTCTCTGGGCTTGGTTGGCATACTTACCACTCATCTTTTCGGTATTTTGGAGACAGTGCTCCACTTGGCTCAGTTCTACTCCGTGTGGTCTAGCATCTCTTAGGAAGTCCTTTATTGCATCAGCTCTCCTCTGTATCAAGTGTAAGCGTTTGATCATCCGTGTCTGCTGGTGGCAGTCTCTCCTCTGGGTCTGATTTTGCTGCCTTTTCTTCTGTTTCTCATTCTGGTGCTTTATTGTTTACTGGCCATTAAGCTTTAAAAACAAGTGTTGGGAATTGTTTAGTTCCAGGGAGATAACTGATTTCTAGAAGCTACTCACTGTACAGACAGGCTAGAACAAGAGTTGTCATTGACTGCTCAAAACTGAGAGTCAAGTCTGTCTCCTTTGCTCTGCCTTGGCTGTTGTAGTCCTCACATGCTCTCTCCATGACTGAAAACAAGATGCTTTTATTCTGCACCTCTCCTTCCCCACCAACCCCCAGTACGTTCTTTGAAACTTTTTTTTTTAAGGTTTCCTTTTCAGACAATATTTAAGCAGGTGTCAGTGCCATACAGTAAGACATGTGTAGTGTAACTTTAACCTGTGTGTTTGTGATTAGCTATGGAGGTCTTAACTTTCTAACCTGTCTAACCTGAGTCACCCCCTATGTGCAGACAATTCAGAGAGGTCACCCTGAGAATGGGGAGTTTGTACCCCACTTCTTTATACACCCTCAGGTTGCTGTAGTGTGGTCCTGTGGAACTAGAGGTCAGGCTGCAGGGCAAGGCCAAGTGAGCACTCGGGAAAGTTGCATTGTAGAATTTCTGATACACAGGGCTGCAGAGATGGCTCAGCGGCTGAGAGCACTGACTACTTTTCCAGAGGTCCTGAGGTCAATTCCCAGCAACCACATGGTGGCTCACAACCATCTGCAATGGGATCTGATGCCCTCTTCTAGTGTGTGTCTGAAGACAGCTGCAGTGTACTCACAATAAAATAAATAAATCTTTCTAAAAGATAGAATTCTGATACATTACAGTGAAATTAGAAGACATTGTGTGTGGGCAGACATCTTATGCTTTAGAAGGTGAGAAATAAAAAGGTTTTGTAGACAGGGTGTCACTGTTCAGCTCAGGCTGGCAAGTTTGCTTGGTTTGGGGATTACAGAGCCATGTCAGCACGCCTGGTGGTCTTGCATGAAAGACCTGAGCCTTAGCCGCATAGGAAGGCAGGTCCCTTCCCATGGTCAGACCGTGCCCACCTCCCTCTTACCAGTAGAGAGCTCCTCTTCTCTCCGCTCCCAGTTTTACCTTCTGGATGCAAGGATGGCAGGGTGAGCCGCTGTTAGTCAAGGTGCTGCAGCCCTCTCTTCCTCCCAAGCACAGTGACTGGCAGTGCTGTCAGAGGAGTGTTTCATTTTGTGTGTTTTGAACCGTGGGCTGGCTGTGTAGCTGAGGTGACTTCAAGCCCTTTGTGCTGAATGACACAAGGCTGAGGGCAGCTGTGTTCTGTGCATATATTGAGAGTATTGAAGATTTCTCCTCCTGTTTGCTGGTGGTGTCATTAAGGAGAAATATGTAGTGTCTTAACTTTAAGAAAGTATTTTCTTGAGTTTAGTGAGAGAACCTGAAGCAAACCTAGGGAGGGACAGACTGACAGTGGCTGAAGGCTAGGAGTAGAAACAGAACATAAGGTCTGGCTTAGTCGGGAAGCAGCAGCAGGTAGATCTCTGTGAGTTTGAGAACAACGTGGTGGATGTAGTGAGTTCCAAGACAGCCAGGCTACATAGTGAGACTGTGGTGGGAGGTAGTAGGATGGGACAGGAACATCATCCTTCAGTGCCTGAGGCGTGAGCATGACAGTCACCTGGGTGTCACTAGTTGCCCTCAGTTGTAGATCTACTGAGAGATAGGAATCGTGACTATGAGGGTCTTTGTGTGAACTCATGAGACACTGGGGTGGTTCTCTTTGAGACAGGGTCTAGTTAGCCCAGACTGGCCTCAAAATGATGGTCTCACAGCTTCCTGAGTTCTGGGGTCACAGGAATAAGCTGCCATCGGCTAGAATTGCTCATTGAAGGGGATTAAAGGCGTGAGACAAGCCCTGGGCAAGTGTGTTGCCTGTGTGATAGTCTGACGGAGGCTTTAGACAGACAGCAAACAAGGCACAAAGCGAAGTCAGGTGTCATAATCCAGTTTTAGGGAAATGTTAGGTATTTTAGTTCATTTTAAGAGTTAAAAATAGAGTTCAGTAGGCTGGAGAGATGGCCTAGCAGTTAAGAGTCTTGGCTGCTCTTCTAGAGAACGTGAGTTCAGTTCCCAGCATCCACATGGCAGCTCACCGTCTAACTCCTACTCCAGGGGATCTAACACCCTCACACAAGAGTTCAAAATAGGCTAGGTGGTGGTGGTTCACATTTTAATCTAGCACTCTGGAGGCAGAGACATGCAGATCTCTGAGTTCCAGGGAAGTGTGGTCTACATAGCAGGTTCCAGGACAGCCAGAGCTACACAGAGAAACCCTGTCTGCACTTAAAGCTTGGTTTTAAAAGTTTAAAAATAGTTAATATTTACTTGTATCTACCATATAAAGTGCCTTATATACATTGGTTCACTGTGAGGTGAGACAGTGCTGACTCCTACTTGGCTCCCCCACCACCTAATTTCTGTCCTTGTAGCAGCCTCTGACACAGCTGTTTGCTCTTCCACTACTGCTACCTTCACCACTTTCCTGAGGCAGCTAGCTAGCTTGCTTGGCTCTTGTCATCTGATCTCTTCTTGCCAGTATATTAATATGAAAGTATTCATGGCTTTAAGGGTTCCAAAGAGCTTGGCCTTCACCTGAACTTTACTGAAGGAAGCTGCACAGTGTGGCTACAGGGCAGAGCCCTGGTCCTCTGGAAGAACAGTTCAAGCTCATTGCTTCTGAGTCCCCCCACCCCCTGCCTTCCACGTCCATTGCATCTAGCACAGAGCAGATCTGTAGGCTTATGTATTCAGCTGTAGGTCTCTAATAGGCTTTTCAGACTCAGCATGTGTAAATATGGTGCAGAGATCAAAACTGTCTTTTTGTCTTTTAACTAGTAGAATAATACATTGAAAGGTTTACTTATGTATTTTATGTGTATGACTGCTCTGTCTGCATGTTCATCTGCGCTCCAGAAGAGAGATCCCATTATAAATGTTTGTGAGCCACCATGTGGTTGTTGAGAATTAACCTCTGAACCTGTAGAAGAGCAGCCAGTGCTCTCAACTGCACAGCTATCTCTCCAGCCCTCTAAATAATAGCATTTTATTTGAGATGCGAGTTTTATTGTTTGCTCTGCTCTACTGTATTGTATATGCTTTTTGGTTTCAGAGATTGGGTTTCTCTGCCCTGGAATTCACTTTGTAGACCAAGATGGCTTCAAACTCAGATCTGCCTGCCTCTGTGTCCGAAGTGCTGGGATTAAAGGTGTTCCAGCACACCCAGTCTGTTTGTTTGCTTTAAATGTCTTTAGGTGCTTCTTTTTCAGAAGTAACATTCGAGAAAGCAGGTGACAAGCAGAGCCTTCATTCCTTTAAATGTGAAACTGTGGTTCTTCAGTGTATTAAAATGAGCTCTGGTTTGTAGGTGCCGTCGCTATCAGAAAGTGACGAGTCTCAGGACTCATCCGACAGCATAGGCTCCTCACAGAAAGCTCACGGGATCCTGGCCCGGCGCCCGTCTTACAGGTTAGTACTTTGTTATCAGTGTGTTCACAGAGTTCTGAGAAAATGTAAAGCGGCCATGGGTGGTTAGGTGAGGGAGCAGATCTTAGGGAGGTTGCAACCAGATTAAGCTGAAGCGTTTAGACAGGGCCTTTCTGCGAAACCCTTGCTGTCCTAGAACTCACAGAGCTCTGCCTGCCTTTCTTCCCTGAGTGCTGGGGTTAAAAGCCTAAGCCACCATGCCCTGCTGGTATAGCAGTATAAAAGCAGAAGTGCAGGGGTGGGAATTGGACTAGCTGTAAGTTCTCTTCTCTCTTAATTCTGAGCCTTTGTCCAGGCCCGTGTGTCCCTCTGTATGTACTAACCAGAAGCCTCTTGATCATTATGTACGTGTGTGTTTGCCTGCATGAGTGTGCTTGTATCATGTGTATCCAGGGGCTAGAAGAAGGTCTTAGGTCCCCTGCAGCTGGAGTTACAGGTGGTTGTGAGCTGCCATGTGGGTGCTGAGAACCTGAGATGTCTGCTGTAACAGTAACCACTGAGCTATGTTTGAGCCCCATAGCATCCATTTTATTCAAAGGCATGGCCATGTGTTACTTTTTGAGATGCTGCCTGTGTCCTGGAAGGGTAACCATCCCTTAGTAAATGCCAAGTAATTCCGTGTGCAGTGAATGGAGATCTGTAAGTAGTGCAGTTGATTGATTACAAAGCCTTTGGAATTGTCTGGACTTTCACATGGACAGAGGTAAGGGTATTTGGAGTGAGTGAACTTGTGACAATTCCATGGTAGAATTGACCAATCCTGGAGCCATGTGTGGTAAGAAGGATCAGAATGATGATGTGTGTGAACAGTGTGCTAAGGTTTTGGATGCTGTCAGAGGGGTCTGTAGAATAACTAGGAAAGCTCTGCTAGGTGTGAATCACGGTGGCACTGACTTAATCTTGTGAAACTGGGCAGGGCAGAGTGCTCATGAGAAGAGCCGTCTCACCTGAGAAATGAGCGAGGGAAGGATGACCGCTCTGCCTGGTCTGGGAGCTCGGTCTCATCAGATGGAGGGAGAGGAAGGAACACAGAAATAAGAATGTGCTTTTGTTTTAATCCCAGGTGTGGGATATGGAGCTCCTTCAGATTGCCCACAGCAGCTGCCTGCTGTGATTTGATTGGCTGGCTACAGATAGCAGCTAGTTTCTTCAGTTGTGTGACATTTGGAATTCTGGGAACTTTTCAGAGGATGTATAAATGCTAGGGCCCCAGAGGCGGAGGCTTGTTGGTTGTTGGTCGCCATCGTTCCTGGTTGCAGTTTGTTAAGTAGTCCATGTGTGAAGATGAAACAAGAAGAAGAAATGAGCTATCCTGACAGATCAAACTTGCCCCAGGAATGAATGGATGCCTCTAATCAGGAAATAGTCTGATGATAATGATACCTTTCCCAACTTTTTTCCGGGATCTCTTTCCTCTCTATCCTACCTAGTGTTAGGGGGTTGAAAGGGTGGAAGAGAGAAGAACCCACAAAATAGCAAAAACACCAGCTACAGAAGTCGATCAATAAAAGGCGATTAGGAACGAGGTTCTTGGAACTTGTACTCGATTGAGTCAGTGGTGAACAGGTGTGCTGACTTTGTGTAATTTTAAAAGGATTTGTTTTTATATTTTCAGTTATGTGTATGTGTTAGGGTATGTGCATGAGTGCAGTGCCAACAGAGGCTGGAAGAGGGCATTACATGCCCTGAGCTGGTGGTTAGGAGTTGCCCAACAAAGGTACTGAAAAACGAACACAGGAAAACACTCTGCAGAAGCGGTCTTAACCACACTGGCCGTCTCTCCGCTGCAATAACCGGCATCTTTAATGTCATTTTACTTGTTTGGCTTTTGTTGTTGCTGCTGTTTTGTTTGTTTTGAGACAGGATGTATAGCCCAGGCTGGGATTAGCCTCATTGCAATTGCCCTGCCCATAGCTGTCACCAGTGGAGAGATTGTAGATCTGAGCCACTGTGACTGCCTGAGACAACCAGCTTTTAAATAGGAAAGATTGAGTTGGTTCCCTTTACTGGTTTTGATCCATGTTTGGCTTCATTGGTTTTGTGCCTGTGTAAAAAGTCTGTGGTCATCAGGAATGTGTGGTAGGTTGAGAACCTCAGTACACAGGCAGCAAAGGGGCTGCATCTCGGCACCCTACCTACGGGCCTTTCCCAGTTACTTCATCCCCTGCTTCTGGGCTCTACTGTCTCACCAAAGCACAAGTTTACAATGGTACTTGATGTAGTTAACACATGGTGCTTCAGAGGACACCTCCCTAAACAAATCAACAATTGTCTGTGTGTGTGTGGGGGGCTAAAGAATTCAACTGAAAACTATAAAAGCTAAAAGAAATAATACAGTATTAGCAGACAGCAACAGATGTAATATAAGCACCAGTAAGTCCCTAAAGAACCCAGATCATGAAATTAGCAAGGACTCTTATGTCTGATTTAGATCAGGAGAGATACAGAGAGACCCTACCACTAGAACAGAAGACTGGGAGGACTTTGAAAAGGAACAAACCTAGAAAGATGGGTCCTTACAACAGCTTAGATGTGACTGAAGAATGGGCAGTCAATCGGAGAGTCCAAGTAGACTACCCAGGATGAGCACAGGTGAATAGAGGGAAGGAGACGGGGGGGGGGCCGGGGGGGGAGGAGGTGTGCCTCAACATGAGCTCCGTCTGTCCGCTGGCAAATGCACTAAGCAAAGGCAGGCTATTGCTGAGCTAGCTGTCCTCCCAGCCCAGATAAGTATTAGATCTTAAAAAGCTTCCAAAAGAGGAAAATTATTTAGAAAGGAATGACTGGTAAGCTAATAACATGTTTTGAACAGTACATTAGACAGTAATGGACTGAAATCTACCTTTCGGCCTAAAATTCTATATCTAGGGATGAACCCCAGTTGTGGTTTGAATATGCTTGGCCCAGGGACTTTCACTATAGCAGGTGTGGCCTTGTTTGTGTGTGTCCTTGATGGAAGAAGTGTGTCACTGTGGGCTTTGAGACCTTCCTCCTAGCTTCCTGGAAGTCAGTCTTCTAGCTGCCTTCAGAACTCTCAGCCACTCCAGAGCCATGCTTCCCACCATGATGATAATGGACTGAGCTCTGAACCTGTAAGCCAGCCCCAATTTAATGTTGTTCTTATAAGAGTTGCCTTGGTCATGGTGTGTCTTCACAGCAATGAAACCCTAAGACACCAGTGGTTAATTTAATTACTAAGACTTGCCTAGCGTGTGCAAGACCCTGGATTTGGTGTCTTTGCACTTCCCCAAAAGATGACTGTTTACTTGTTACTGTTTGCTTCTTACAACAGTAACAATGACTCATTTAGTGGCTTGATAACAAAATAGGGAACTGGGAACATATGTCAGTGTAGAACATTGATCTATATGTGCAAGGCCCTGGGTTTGATCCCCAGTACCACAAAAGGGACAAATAAGAGACTATAACATGGGAAAGGCACACAACAGCTGAGGTAACAGCACTCTGTAGGAAAGGGGTTACTCTGAAGTCGTAAGTTGTAACATTACCATCTATTAAACCCTGGTATGTACCGCATAGATATTTTATGTTCTAGTGTTTATGCTTTAAATGTTTAGTAGTTTGACACTGAGAATGGAATGAGCACTGCATTCTGGGATATGGTATGCATGTGACTATCAGAGGACACCTACAGGCTGATGGATCTCTCCCTTGACCATGTGAATCCCTGGGTCAAACTCCAATTGTCAGGCTTGGCAACATGTGCTTTAACCACTGGGCCATCCAGCCACCCTGAACTCGGTCTTCCTGCCTCAGTTTTCCAAGTGCTGCTTTAGAAGCCTCTCTGTAGTTCTGTGGTAGCAGATCTGCTCTTGTCTCTGAGAACTGTGGCTTCTTTTCCACTGTGGCTATAGTATTGGAAGTTGAAAAGGCCCTTTGTTCTTTCTGAGTGAAAGACACTTAAGAACAGCCATCTTTCCTGCAGAGGAAGGATACGTAACAGCTGTACAAGGGCCTTGCACCTCAACAGATGCTCGAAGTTTTTCTTTGGTGTATGACTGACATAAAATGTGGCTAGCCCAGAGTATATTATAATGGTAAATGCTAAGCAAAAAGACTCCTTCTCCCAAGGCTTCTTAACGTTATGGTCTGGGGCCCTGTAGATGCTTGTGCTACTTATTTTTGAAACAGGGTGTCACTCTATCTCTGATTGGCCTAGAATGTCACAGACCCGCCTGTCTCTGTCTCTGGGATATAGGTGTGCATGGCTAAACTCAGCTTGATTATATTGTACTTTAAAAAAATCCAACAGATACTTACTGAACTCTGTCCCAACTTTATTGTCTCTCTTTCTCTACAAAAACAAAGTAACTTAGTTAGGTGAAGGTTGCTTGCACACCTTTAATCCCAATATTTAGGAGACAGAGGCAGCTGGATTTCTGAGATTGAAGACAGCCAGGGTTATATAAAGAAACCCTGTATCAAAAAAAAATTTTTTTTAAAAGGAGAAAACAAAATGAAAAACAATAAAACAACAAAAAGAAACCAAAAAATTGCCGAGCGGTGGTGGCACATGCCTTTAATCCCAGCACTTGGGAGGCAGAGGCTGGTGGATTTCTGAGTTCGAGGCCAGCCTGGTCTACAGAGTTCCAGGACAGCCAGGGCTACACAGAGAAACCCTGTCTCAAGAAACAAAAAAAAACAAAAAAAAAGAAGAAGAAGAAGAAACCAAAAAAATCCACAAAAGACTATGGAGTCAGCTGTGTGTTATCTAGCCCCATGAGCAGCCTGTCCCGGCCGGATGCAGTTGGTGCACAGCGGCCCCTGGAGAACAGGTCTCTCTTTCCCAGCACTGTGCACATAGTGTGTCCACTTCCCTGTCTGTTGAGATTCTTACTGGTTTGGATTGTACTGGTCTTGTGCACACTGTCAACAGTCGGTTCGTGTGGGCATCGGCCCTGTTGTGTCTAAAGACACTGTTTCTATGGAGTTATCCTTCCATGGGTCTCTGAGCTTTGAGGAGAGGGGTTTGATGAAGACGTCCCATTTAGGGCTGAGTGCTTAAGACTTACAAATCTCTGCACATGGTCTCTAAGTTGTGGGTCTCTGATAATCCCCATCTCATGGGATAAGAAGCTTCTGCAGTGGAGGTTGAGGGCACTGACCTGAGTCTGTGCCCACTGGAGAGACAGCTCTATGATTCTGCAGACGTCACAGAGGAATGCAGATGGGATAGAAGGAAAGGCTGACAGGGTGGCTGGAATCTAGTCTGACATTTTGTAGTCCATTGAGACAGTGGGTGAAGACTATGTTGTGGTGAAGAACAAATGCCCTTAGTCCTACACTGTGGAAACTGAGGCAGAGGGTTGCTGGGAAATCAGTGGAAATTTGGGGTACAGCACCTAGTAGTGTCCAGCCTTGCTCTGTGGAATCATGTGAATTCTCATGAGAAGCCCAGCTCTCTTAGGGCCAGTCCTTTCTGGATGAGTAGAGAAGGTCCTTGACTTCCTTCCTGTAACTTGTTCACTTGAGCAGTTCTCCAGGAATCCTGCAGCTGTGCTGCCTTTACCTCAGGCTCTTGTTTCCAGGGCAGTACCTGGAGGTGTGGGAAGGTTTCCTTACCTTCTCTCCTGTTGGAGTTTGTATAGGCAGCTGGGTTTTGACCAACACTCACTTCTCTGAGGGACTTATTCTTAGACAACAGGGTTCCGTAGATGTGGGCTAAGACTGGTTTAGTACAGGTTAGACCCTCTCTTCGTCTCTGTAGGAGCCGGCCTGACGCCCACTTCTCTCTCTCAGTGGGCTTGTCCTTGCAGTGTCAGCCAGTAGCAGACTGCTTCAGCAATAGTTGAGGCACAATGGCTTCCATATTATGGATGCTTTTTTTGGCTGCAGCCATGAGTGTAAAGATGTGTCTTGTTTGTTATCCTGTGTACACGGGTTATTTGCATGCTGAGATCTGTCCCATCCAACAGCCATAGATTAGATAAACGCTGTAATTCCTGACTCAGGAGTCACTTGAGGGTGAGTCACCCTGGAAAGAGTTTCTGACTTAAAGTGTTCTCAGCAACAGCTCTTAGGAAAACTGCTGTGATGACTCGGCTTTCTTGTGGCTGGGGCCTGGTTCAGCAGCACGCTGACTTTAAAGTCACACTCTTCGGGAGAGTTCGAATGCACTGATTGGATAAAGCTTGCTGAGCTGTTAGGGCTGGCTTCTGCTCTTGGCTAGTCTCTCTTCTGACTTTGGCCATGGTCCTCTGCTGTGGTCCAGGCCCGTTCCATGTTTCCAGGCTAAGTAATCCTCCTGCCTGGCCTGTCAAACTGAGACTGAAGACATGCACCACCATAGCCAGTTAGATTCTTTCACTTTTAACCTGAAGGGATGTGGTGGTCCATTCCTGTAATGCTGGCTAGCACTGGGAGGCTGGCAGGGTAGGAGGATCACTGTGAGGCGGCTGCACAGTCAGAAAGAGGGAGGGTGAGAGACAGTGCCTAGTGCCTTCCTTTTATGAAGGCACCGTCATTAACAGTCAATAACACTGGTGTATTTATTACAGGAAAATTTTGAAAGACCTCTCGTCTGAAGATACACGGGGCAGAAAAGCCGACGGAGAAAATCCCAGCATTTCTGCCGTCACTTCTATGTCTGTTCCAACCCCCATCTATCAGACAAGCAGTGGACAGTACAGTATGTATAGGGTTTGTTCCACATTACACATACAAGACTTAACTTTATGGAAAGAAATGTGTATAGAAAGGCTGCCATATTTTAAGGGTGTTGATTATTAGCATGTGTAGGAAAGTGGGTTTCTTGCGTTATCTCATTTCTTTTGTTTTTGTTTTGTTGTTGTTGGTTTTTTTGTTTTTTGTTTTTTTTTGGGTTTTGTTTTTTTTTTTTTTGGTTTTTTCGAGACAAGATATCTCTGTGTAGCCCTGGCTGTCCTGGAACTCACTCTGTAGACTAGGCTGGCCTTGAACTCAGAAATCCGCCTGCCTCTGCCTCCCAAGTGCTGGGATTAAGGGCGTGCACCACCACCGCCCGGCGCAGTATCTCATTTCTTAAAACAACGTTGTGAGATGGACGTCGGGTGAGATGGCGTTTCTTCGGTGTGGTAGCACATGCCTCTTACCCTTCCTAGCACTTGGAGTGTGAAAGCATCAGGCTCATTAGCTGAAGTCGAGCTGTGCTACGTATTGAATCCAGCCAAGCCACTATGTCATGAGACTCTGCCTCAGAACACAGTGGTCTCCTCCCAACCCCTCAAAGTTAGATACTGTCCCTATTGTCCCACTGCTTGTAAGTAACAGAGCCAGAATGTCTATCTGGATCTAGAGCTAGTATTTCCCCAAAGCATGCACCTTGTACAAGTCTCTTGTATGCACATGCTGTCTGTGACCTTAATACTGGTGTAATTAGTACTTTGGTTACTTCTATAATAAGAATTAGACACAGGCGAGAGCGACGGCTCAGCGGTTAAGAACGCTGACTGCTCTTCCAGAGGACCTGAGTTCAGTTCCCAGCAACCACATGGTGGCTTACAACCATCTGTAATGGGGTCTGATGTCCTCGTCTGTCACACAGGCATGCATGCAAATAGTGCACTCATATGCGTAAATAAATCTTTTTTAAAAAGAGAATTAAACATAATATTTGAATTTTCAGTTTGAGATTAAGGAAGAAAAAGAATGGAGGCCGGGCAGTGGTGGCGCACGCCTTTAATCCCAGCATTTGGGAGGCAGAGGCAGGCGGATTTCTGAGTTCGAGAGTTTGAGGCTAGCCTGGTCTACAGAGTGAGTTCCAGGACAGCCAGGGCTACACAGAGAAACCCTGTCTCGAAAAACCAAAAAAAAAAAAAAAAAAGAATGGAGACTTTGGATGTGACAGTAGCGTGTACCATGAGCAGTGCTGGTCTGTCAGTACAGAGAGCCACATTCCTGGCTACTGGTGTGAATCCCTTTTGGGGACTAGTGGTGGTGGAACAGGTCCAGTGTGGCCTTGAGAAAGTTACAGAAAGCACAAGTCTCCAGCAAAGAGATGTGCACACATACCAGCCAGGTAGTAGTAGTCTGGATTGTGCTAACATTGAACAGGTCCAGTGTAGCCTTGAGAAAGTTACAGAAAGCACAAGTCTCCAGCAAACAGATGTGCACACATACCAGCCAGGTAGTAGTAGTCTGGATTGTGCTAACATCTGTATTTTTTGCCTAAGCATTTAGGAAATGGATTCCTTTCACTTATTAAAATGGTATTTAATGAAATTAACAGGTATAATACAATTGTTTCTGAGATAGGTGTCTCACTGTTGCGCTGGCTGGCCTGGAACTCGGAGACCTGCCTGCCCTCTCCCTCTTGAGATTAAAGGCATGTGTGGCCACGCCCAGTTGCTTTCTAACAGTTTTTAAATCTTTCATGTTCACTTGTTTTCTAGACAGGGTTTCTCTGAATAATTGGCTGACGTGCTCTGTGGAGCAGGCTGGTGGTTAATGCCTAAACGCTTTTCCGTCGCGGAGGTCTCCCTGTGTGTTGTAACTGTTTTAACTGTTGCTGCCCTTAAGTTGATGTTGGTGAAAGTGAGGAAGGAGCTTCAGCTTGTAGTTATCGGCTCAGTTTAGGGAGTGCTGCCCCATGAACTTTCTCCCAGTTTTCCTGGCTGTTCTTCTAAAATACTTATAGTAAGGTTCACTTTGGGAGTTTGGATAGATATGGTGTATAACACACTCACCACAGTCTGCTTGGCGGTTGATGTGTAGCTCAGTGGTAAAGCACTGAGTTCTATACACAAGGCTGAGGTTTAGTTCCTAGCACCTTGGTGAGAAAAAGGTGAGAAAACTCAAGGAAGTCTGATTGGCACCTTCCATGAAATGGCTGCACTACCTGACCACCTTTCAGCCCTCTGATCATTTAGCTACACAGCTTCCAGAGTCACTAACTTGGGTCCATCCTGACAGCTAGCTTCTGTTAGTACCTTCATTTCTTTTCTCTGCTATAGCTAAAATTACTGATTAAAAGGTTAACTACATGGGCATAGTGACCCACAGCTATAATCCCAGAGCTGGCGGGGCAGAAGCAGGAGGTTCAGCAGTTTAAGATCAGCATTGGTTATGGAGCAGTTCTAGGGTCAGCCTGGAATGAGGTCCTGTCTCAAACCAAACCAAACCAAACCCAACCCAACCCCAACCCCAACCCCAACCGCAACCGCAACCCCAACCCCAACCCAAACCAACACCAAACCAACAACACCAAACCAAACCAACACCAAACCAAACAAACACCAAACAAACACCAAACACCAAACCAAACACCAAACCAAACCAAACCAAAACCTAAAAGGACTAAATGTCAAGTCGACTCTTGTGCCAGTCCCTGGTGTGTGTGGCTTTCTTGCTCTACTTCAGCCCACAAAGCTGTTTTCATTCTTCAGGGTCTTTGAAGTTGTTACCCTTGGTCTGCCTTCTCCTCATGCAGACAGTCACATGGCTAACATCCTTAGTCCTCTCTTTACTGTGTGGTGTACATGTGTATGTTGGGCATGCACACATAGATGCCAGAAGAGGGAGTCAGCTGTACTCCTCTTTCCATCCCACCTCTTCCTCTGCCCTAGGCTCTCTCTCTAGACCTGACCCAGGCCATAATCCTGTCTCCACAGCACCCCAGAATTAGAGCTACGGGTGTGCATAGGACACCTGACTTATGACTTGAGCACTAGGCTCTTTAACACTGCTGCTCCCGACTGTGCAGCCAGCAGCCAGCAGCCAGCGAGCCATTTCTCTAGCCATGGGACAACTCTGAATCACACTCCCAATGCTTTAGATTTCATTACCTGTCTAGCGTTCCCTGGACATGTAAGAAACAGAGCAGTGGTTGCAGAGGTGACTGGGGGTTGGTTGATCCTGGCTTACCTAAAGCTGAATGGGCTTCCTCATCGTACACAGGCTTCACTGGCATCTCCCAACACACAGACGGTTAAAGGCAGCCGGAAAGGAAAAACCTACAGAGACACTTAGGCAGATATTTCAAGCAGTAAGTGGAGATACGTACAACACAGACTAGTATTTAGGACAGCAGAGTCTGGGAGGACCTGTGGGACATCAGTGTTTTCGGTGTTCGGGACCATAGCCATCAAGCCAGGGAGGCTGCTTAGGGGTTTACATGATTCTGATGAGGCTGTGGCTGCTGTATCGAACAGTGCAGCTTTAGAACAAGTAGGACTAGATCAATACATATGGCCAACTAGAAAAAGGCAGGTTACAAAAAGAAAAGTACATTGCTGCTTATATCTAATATCCAAACACACTCATTTGCAGCTATGAGTATCCCACACACATACTGGGTATATAGTACTATCAGTTCAATACACACAGTAGCTGTATGTTACTGTCAGTCCTGTGTGAAGCCTAGGAAAGGAACCAGAGACAGTGGGGACTTAACGGTATAGAGAGTAGTCACCTCCATCCTGCAGTTAGTAAATTAGGAATGAGACTTTCTTATATATTTTTGAGAGAAAATGATATCTGTATCACATATAATTTCAAAAGAAACCTGCTAAAATATCCGGTGTTCTAAAGTCAGGCACTGTAGAATTTGGTCCTGGGTCTTTCTCCCACACCCATGCTCCCAGAAATAAGACTCAGACTCAAAATACACTTACATATAGCCATATAGCTAGGCTCTTCTGACTATATCATATCCTTAATAACACATTTATTCTAACCTGCATTTTGCTACCTGGCTCATTACCTGTTCTCAGGCACCAAATATCTGCCTTCTCACATCTTCCTGGGTGGATCTCCTACCTGGCTCCATCCCAGAATTCTTGGATGTCCTTACCTTTTATTCTCCTTTTCCTATAGGCCATAGGTGTTTTTGTTTGTTTGTTTGTTTGTTTGTTTTTAATTGAAAGGTGATGCATCCATACAACACATAAGATACTCTCTCTACGGGGTAGTAAGGTATGTGTGGGTCTGTACATGAGGTAGAGTTGAGTAGTGGAGCTCCTGGGAAAAGTCCTTCTCAGTGAGAACCCCTCCACCACATAGCAGACTGCTTTGTTTTGGCTTCCTGGTAGCCAGAGTATGAAAGGAGAAACATAGTGTTGATTTAAAGGCACAGACATGGGGTAGGTGGGGGGCACGTCCTCATAGAAGCAGGAGGGGGGGGTGGGTAAGGGGATAACATCTGAAATGTAAATAAAATATTCAATAAAAAAATTACACCTGTTTAAAAAAAAGAGGTGATTTGAAAGAGTTCCAAATACTTAGGAAATACTGAAGGAGAGAGTATGCAGGTATGTTGATAGATGTGAAAGAGACATAAATCTGGAAAGAGACAGATAGGCCTGGGAAAGGGGAATAGTATAAAGAAACAGGCATTTTTATGAATAAAACTGGTAAAACACTGCAAAAAAAAAAAAAAAAGACGAAGGGCGGTGGTGGCGCACGCCTTTAATCCCAGCACTTGGGAGGCAGAGGCAGGTGGATTTCTGAGTTTGAGGCCAGCCTTGTCTACAGAGTGAGTTCCAGGACAGCCAGGGCTACACAGAGAAACCCTGTCTTGAAAAACCAAAAAAAAAAAAAAAAGACACGAGGCGTTGGCTTGTGATGGAGGTTTGCCTCTGAGGCATGCCATCGAAGAGCTCGGACATAGATGGAAATGTCTGGTGTCTGGTACTGTGGTCCACAAGTGGCTTTCTGAAGGCTTTATTTTTACTAGGTGTTAAATGAATACTTTACATTGTTTAATCTTTTTGTTTGGTTTTGATTTTTTTTTTCCCCCTCTATGTAGCCCTAGCTGTCCTGGAACTTTGTAGGCCAGGCTGGCCTTGAACTCAGATCACCTACCTGCCTGTGCCTCCCAAGTGCTGGGATTAAGGGCATGTAAGACACAATATTAAATTCTTCCATTTTTTTTTTAAAATTCCTGTGCTAGCTTATGGTGGTCTTAAACTCATGATGCTACTCTCTGTACTTCCTAAGTGCTGGGGTTACAGGTGCGTCAGTCACCATGCTCAGGTTCAGATAGAAAGTAAAATGTTCATTTGCTATATAGAGAGTCTTGGGGTACATGAGATACTATATACCCAATACTCAAAAAAATAATTAAAGAAAATCCTTGGCCATTAGATATTTCATTATTGCCCAAGATTTCTCTGGTAACATCAGCAATTAACATAAAGTGCCCATAGATTACAAAATGTGTTTTTTATGATTTATTGTGTAGTATGTAGCTTGAGACTAAATCTTGGGTAGTATGTCTAAACTATAAAACTTTGTACAGACATTGCTATTTTATTCCAGTTTTTTGTTGTTATTGTTGTTGTTCTTGTTTTTTTCTAGTTTACCCAGAGTGGTCTGCATTCAGACCTGTTTTTTAAATGTTTTTTTGTTTTATGTCCTTCTTTGAATTGAATTCGTGTATTCTATAGCCTTATATTTCTCTGTTTGATTAAAGTTGCCATTGCCCCAAACGGAGCCTTACAGTTGGCCAGTCCAGGCACAGATGGAGTACAGGCACTGCAGACATTAACCATGACAAATTCCAGCAGTACTCAGCAAGGGACAATCCTCCAGTATGCACAGACCTCTGATGGACAGCAGATACTCGTCCCGAGCAACCAGGTGGTTGTACAAAGTAAGTGTGCTTCGTTATCCGCAAGCGGGCCCAAGGCCTTTCGAAAGCACTTCAGGAGTAACGTCCCTTCACTTTTGGCTCTACAGCTGCATCGGGAGATATGCAGACCTACCAGATCCGTACCACACCGTCTGCCACGTCACTCCCACAGACTGTGGTGATGACCTCTCCTGTGACTCTTACATCTCAGACAGCAAAGACAGATGACCCCCAACTGAAGCGAGAAATACGGCTGATGAAAAACAGGTAAATATAGAACATGTTCCAGCGTGGGTGAGGTCTCTGCACATCTCAGGACAGTCGCACATCACCTCCTTAGACGATAGGATAGGAAGGAGGTTGCATCAGCTTCGGTGTGCTGCGTGGTGGCTTATGTCCAGTGGGTGTATGAGTATTGTTGATCCAAGTGGGTCAGTGACATCATTGTTCAGTCTCTGCATTAAATAGCTTGAGATGTAGAGTTCTTCAGTTTTACTACATCCTTTGAAATAATGGCGTTGCTGAGTGAGTGGAGAGATGAGATGGCTCAGTGATTAGGAGCACTGGCTATTTTTGCAGAGGACCCAGATTCAATTCCCAGCACCCACATGGCAGCTTACAACCGCTTATAACTCCATTTGTAGGGGATCTTACATCTAACGTGGCCTCTCTGGACAATGCATGCATGTGGTATACATTCATGAAGGCATATATACATGTAAAAAATGGAAATAACATTGCTAGCAAAGCTTTTCAAACAGCATTGTCTTGTTGTTGAGTTCACAGTGAAATGGCAGCGATACAGGCATGCCATAGAGATTGTGTGGTGTAGTGTGTGCTTCCAGAAGTATAACACAGCAAGTCCTGCAAAGTGTGGGCCCAGCATACACAAGCTGTGCTTAGTCACTGGGTGCACTAAAGACAAGACACGTGCTGTGAGGTGTAAAGCTGACAGCACCACCCATCACCTGAGCCTGTCTAAGCTGTAGCAGCTCGCCTGGGTGTTAATGGCTGCCCTCAATCACACTGTTGTTTGCTGACCTTTGCCACAAGGAGTGACATTCCATTCCACTGTAGTTTCTCTGCACACGCTGTGCTGGTTGGTAGCGGTTTCCCTAGGACAGTAAATCCATCTGTCAGTTCATACCAGTTTTCACCAGTGGATTCGTTTTCAAGAAACCATTTTGTTTACTTAAGTATATGAAGTGACTTGTCTGCAGGGTTTTTTAATTTACCCAAAGATGAGATTAGGGGCTAGAGAGATAGTTTAGCAGTTAGGAGCACATGCCTGTAGGTTTTTGGGTTTGTTTGTTTGTTTGTTTTTCATATTTTGAATCATGGTCTCACTACGTAGCTCTAGCTGTCCTAGAACTCATAAAGATCTGCCTGCCTTTGCCTCCCTAGTACTGGGAGTTAAGGTATGTGCCACCAGCCCAGCTGCACACTATTGGTTTAGAGGACACAGCATTCATTTTTTGTTGTTGTTGTTTGTTTGTTTGTTTTCTGTTTCTCGAGACAGGGTTTCTCTGTATAGCCCTGGCTGTCCTGGAACCCACTCTGTAGACCAGGCTGGCCTCAAACTCAGAAATTCACCTGCCTCTGCCTCCCAAGTGCTGGGATTAAAGGCGTGCGCCACCACTGCCCGGCAGGACACAGCATTCATATTAGATGGATACAACTTACAACTCCAGTTCCAGGGGACTCAACACCCTCTGGGCCTCTGAGAGTACCTGCACATGAGAGCGCTCACAACACAGGGTTATAGTGACAGGAGCAGTTGAGTCACATCTTTTGACACTCTGGTCTATTTTCAGTTTTGGACTTGGGAATCAAAAACTCAGGACCTCATATTTGCTAGGCAAGCGCTGTGTCACTGACCTGTATGTACCTACAACTATTCCTTAAAAGAATCATCCACTAAGTTCCTCAGCCCCCTGAAGACACCACAGGGGTGTGGGGCACACTCCCAGCTCCTGTTCTTGTGTATCTGTACTTCCCCCTAAAATGATACTGTCACAGCATTAGGGGGACATAAACTTGTTCTGTCCACAAGTTTACAGTTTACTTTTTCCAGATCCTCTGGTTTGTATTTTTGTTTTGTTTGAGTAAAGATCTCTGTTGATAGCCCAGGTTAGCTTGTAATTTTCTTATATAGGCCAGGCTGGCCTCAAACTTACAGTAGTCTTCCTGTTTCAGCCTTCCAGTCTTGGGATTACAGGAATGCCAGCTATAATCTTACAAAATGTATTTGCTAAATAAATAAGACTTGAAAATGAAAATTATTTATGTCATTGGCTCCAGAATTGGCTGCTGTCAGTATGCTGAGCAGGGCATTGATGTCAGTGTGACTCCAGCAGAGCTTGTGCAGGGCCAGGTGCATTGTCAGCGAGGGAGAGTGTGAGAGACATCCTTTCTGTGCAGGTCTTAGACGTATCCGTGACCTGGTCTGTATATCCTACTGTGAATGTGAGAAGTATACGTGACCTGGCCTGTATATCCTACTGTGAACGTGCTGGGACCAGGCTTTGTGCCACTTGGAAGGCAGAGGTGTCACTATGGCGTCCCTAGGAGTTTGGGAGTAACAAATGAACACTGCTTTAACGTCAGGTGCCCAGCCTCATTTTCCCTAAAAAGAGACGCAGCCTCCCCCACAGCATTGGAGCTTGATGTTGACTTCCCTTTAGCTGTGGAAGTCTAGGGCCATGTCTTACTGAATGCTGCTGTTTACCTGCAGTCCGGAGCCTCCTCCTCCTCAGTCTCCTCACCAGCATCTGTGGGTGACCTGCTGCAACATTTAAAACAGGTTCTGTGTGGAGGTGGCACATGGTCTCCTGATACCAGGCGCTGGAGGTAGAGGTGGCCATGAGTGCCTCTCATAGGCTGGGAGCTGAATTCTGGTCATGCTTTTAAAAAATTATGCTTTCTGTGAATACATGCCTATACATCATGTGTGCCTAGTACCCAAAGAGACCAGGAAGAGGGGGTCAGAGCCCCTGGAACCGAAAATACCAATGGCTCTGGGCCATCATGTAGGAGCTGGGAATTGAACCTGGCCTCTGCAAGAGGAGCTAGTGTTTTGTTTTTTTGCAGGTTTTTCATTTATTTTATGTGTGTGTTAGTATTTTGCCTGTTTGTGTGTGTGTGTGCTACATACATGCCTGGAGCCCACGGAGATCAGAAGAGGGCTTTGGATCCCTTTGGACTGGAGTTACAGACATCTGTGCTGCCATGTGGGTGCTGGAAATCACACTGGGGTCCCCAGGAAGAGCAACAAGTGTGCTTAACTGCTGAGCCCGCTCTGGCCCCACTTGCCACTCCATCTTCATCTTGGGTTTCTCTTGTCAGTGGATGGGTGTTCGTGTACTCTTAGGCCAGAGGGTGGCACCAGACACCCAGCTGGAGTTAGTGACAATGGGTGATTGTGAGCTGATGGATGTGGGTGTTGGTAGCCAAACTCAGGTCCTCTGCAAGAGCAGAATGTGCTCTTACTTACCTAGCCATCTCTCCTGCCCTGCTGTTACACTATACATAGAAGTGGTTTTCTTCATGAACCTATCTCTGCATACTTCTCATCTCTCACCCTTCCAATTGAAGAGAGTCAGAGCCTTACTCTAGAGTAGACCTTGGATTAAAGGAACCTTGTGGCTGTTTTGATCTGGTCAGACCACAAAAACTTCCATGTCAGCAAAAAGACTGCTTCATCTTCTGACATGTAGCTGTCCTCTCATTGAGTTCAGATCTCTCGCTGGCTGGGAGGTCTTGCTCTGGCCTGTCATGGCTGTCAGCAAGCCTTCCTCACTAAGTAGGAATCATTTCTAGCTTTCCACCGAAGTGAAGAGTACCTCTCCCTTCCTGTAAGCACATAAAGGCCACTCTAGGGTTATAAGAGAGAGGTCTGATTTCCTCTACATCTTGAAGACCAGAGAGCTTAAAGGAGAGTCAGACAGGAAGAGCCACTTGAAAAATGGGAACACATACTACATTTATCAGATAAACTACCATCTTAGGTGAACAGTATGTGACACTAGAGAACAGTTAAAGTAACAACCTCAAGGTCATAGGTCAAGGTGACTCATCAGGTACAGGCCCTTACCTGGAAGCCTGGCAACCTGAATTCAATTCTTGGAATCCATGTAAGGGTGGACTACACAGTTGTCCTTTGACCTCCATTGTGTGTACTGTAGTAAATGTGTGTCTTTCCATACACAAAGTTAAATTTTTAAATGTTCTATTGCAACAACCATCATGGAACATTTACTTTCTTCTTAAGCATATTTTGTTGTCTGTGTAGCCCAGGAACTGTATAGCTGGCCTGAAACTGGCTGTGTCACCAAGGATTTTTCTGACTCTTATCTTGCTTCCACTTCCCGAGTACTAGGTACCACCTCAAGCCAGGGCTTCGTACATGCTAGACGAGTCCCTCATCAGTCGAGCCTCATCCTCTTCCCCTTGATGACATTTAGGTGTTGCTACAGTCTCTGTAACACATATATATCAGGCATAAAAACTTATGAGAAAATGCATATATTATGGGTAACTTTACCTACTATGCTCAAGAAAAAAAAGAGAGAAGGTACCAAGAAACCAGGAATGGCAACAAAATTTCAAGTCTAAAGATTACAATGTGACTGGGCTTTATAGCTACACACAAAGAAAACTAGATCAAAGGTAATGTCTTTAAAGCAATAAAAATTTAACAGTCATGTGGATACATATCAAAAAGTGACAACAAGCATTTACTTCCATCTCTATGAATGAGTTTGGTAGAAAGGCAGGGAGTAAATGAAGTACATTGTGTAAATAGAAAAAAACGGATATAATCTTGCATCTAGAAACCCCCAGAAACTTACAAAATTACAAGAGTGTTCCTCCCATGTGTACAAAGCCCTTGGTTTGATCCCCAGTGCCACATAAAAGCAGGGTGCTGGCCCAGACAGGAGGTGGAGGTGAGAAGTTGAAGGGAGGTTTGAAGCCAGCCTGGGTTACAGAGACCCTGTCTCCAAAAAGAACAGAGAAGGAGTTACTAGAATGAGAATTTGTCACAAGATGACCTCAACTACAAATGTGTTTAAAGGTTGATGAAATATATAAGGTGTCCTTTAAAATGTACCTATAGGAAAGAAGCTGAAAATCTGATGAGGTTAGGAATGAATTCCAACTCTTAGATCCGCCTGCCTCTGCCTTCCTAGGACTGGGACTAAAGGATATGCCACCCCACCCTGTCCAGATGAATTTTTTTTTCTTTTTCGAGACAGAATTTCTCTATCTATCTCTGGCTGTCCTGGAACTCACTCTGTAGACCAGGCTGGCCTCGAACTCAGAAATCCGCCTGCCTCTGCCTCCCAAGTGCTGGGACTAAAGGTGTGCGCCACCACTGTCCAGCTGAAATTCTTATCTTGATATACTGTAGAAAAAAGGACCAGTCTTTTTTTTTTTTTTTGGTTTTTCAAGACAGGGTTTCTCTGTGTAGTTCTGGCTGTCCTGGAACTCACTTGGTAGACCAGGCTGGCCTCGAACTCAGAAATCCGCCTGCCTCTGCCTCCCAAGTGCTGGGATTAAAGGCGTGCGCCACCACCGCCCGGCAAAAGGACCAGTCTTAGAGCAGCCTACACTACGAACTGCATCAGGTTGATTTCACGAGGCTACTACACTCGGAGCTTTAAAAAAGGTTGCTTAAAATTAGTCCTCTTACTGGATGATGTCATCTTGAACAGCACTCGACATAGCTCTGACAATTTCTGTAAGTTACGCTCTAATAGCAAGGTCAAAGCCTACAGAAGACCTGGAGAGCTGGCCCTCTCAAGTTTCTTGTGGAAACTTAGTTGTAGGGAGGTCACATGATTTGCCGAGTAAACTGGCTTTATTTAAACAGGAAGAACAAGGCTTCACAATCCAAAGCATAGAAACAGAAATTATTCTTATAAGGACATAGTTACCTGCTTTGTATCCTGAAGGCCAGTCATGGTGTCACATGCCTGTGATCCCAAGCTTCAGAGGTGGACACATAAATTGCTACTTTGTGGCTAGCCTGAGTTACACAATGAGACTGTAACTAATCCGACCCAGAAGAACAAGAAGAAAAGCTTTAAACCTAGTATGCTGGTGCAGGCCTAGGATGGTTGGCATAGTGAGTTGCAGTCCAGCTGGACTCTGTCAAAAACATGTTTTATATATAAGATGAAATTTAAAACTTTAATGTAAAAATACATGATTTTATAACTTTGAGTATAGGGATAGATTTCCTAAACAAGGTAACATTCAGTGAATAATGTTTTGGGATTTTTGTTTTGTATGTGTGTGCTTTTAGATTTTTTTTATTATGTATAGAGAATTCTGCTTGCATCAGATCTCATTGCAGATGGTTGAGTCACCATGTGACCTCCATGCTTTCCTGCAGTCCTGAGATACTCTGGGCCAGTGGGCTTTAAATGAGTATGTCCAGTGGCCCTGCAGAAAAAATATAGGAAAAAAGGCATGTATACATATGTGCTGGAAGCCACTTTTAAGTTGGGGGTGGTGGCAGCTGGAGAAGTGGCTCAGTGGTTAAGACCACTGACCATTCCTTCAAAGGACCAAGTTTGACAAACCCAGTCCACAATGGTGGCTGACAAACATCTATACCTCCAGTTCCAGGGAAGAAACACCACCTGCAGGCCTCCATAGGCACTGCATGTGCTGGTACACAGCAGCAGCAACAAAAAAGGTTGTGGGGAGCCAGCAGCCAACCAGTTTCCTCACACTTGGAAGGCTATGGCAGGAAGATGGCTTCTTCATGACCAGCCTGGACTGACTACATAATGAGGGTCTGGCTCTAAAACAGGAAAAAGGCTGTGGTGAACTGGCTGTGGCACGTGTCTGTAATTGCCACATTCAAAATGCTGAGGCAGGAGGTCTTCGGAATTTAAGGCTAGCCTAGGCAATAGAGCAAGAACTTGTGTAGAAAAAGCACTAATTGGAAGCTGACTGGACCACAGCAGTGGCTGCCTGGCCAAGATCTGGACCGCAGAGCAGTGAGGCCTGCTTCCCTCCCTCCCTCCCTCCCTCCCTGCTTTCCTCCCTCCCTCCCACTTGGGTGCTAGATGTGGGTCTCAGGAGGCCTTGTACAAGTACTCTACACGTCAGGTCTGTGCATTGACACATAGAATCCTGGCAAGGCAGAGTAAGGGATGTCTGTGCCAGCCCTGTCTAAAGGAAGTTGTCTTTCTAAATTATGTGTGGGTGTGTGCAGGTACCCGTGAAAGCCAGAAATGTCTGATACCCCTAAGTTACAGTTACACCTGACATGGGTGCTGGGAACTGACCTTTGGTCCTTTACAAGAGCAGCAAATACTCTTTTTTGTTTTGTTTTTTTGTTTTGAGACAGGGTTTCTCTGTGTAGCCCTGACTGTCCTGGAACTCACTCTGTAGATCAGGCTGGCCTCGAACTCAGAAATCCGCCTGCCTCTGCCTCCCAAGTGCTGGGATTAAAGGCGTGCGCCACCACTGCCCGGCACAGCAAATACTCTTAACCACTGAGCCATTACTTTGCTCCAACCCCTCAGGTGATACCTTAAACTTTCAAATGGAGGTTGGAGGTAGTAGCATGTTTTTATAATCCCAGCATTGAGAAAGAAAGGATGAGGCAGGAGGATTGCAGATTTGAGGCCAACTTGGGCTCTACAGTAAGAGGATGTCCACTAAACAAAGTCAGGGATAGTGGGTGAGAGACAGGGGGACAATGCCTTTCTTGTTTTCCTGATGTGCCGTGTCTGTGTGTAGAGAAGCTGCCCGAGAGTGCCGCCGGAAGAAGAAGGAGTACGTGAAGTGCCTGGAGAACCGCGTGGCCGTTCTGGAAAATCAGAATAAAACTCTAATAGAAGAGCTAAAGACTTTGAAGGACCTTTATTCTCATAAAAGTGTTTGATTCTTTAAAGAGAAAGTATTTTTGTGGACTTTTAAGCTTAAAAATTAGGTGGATTTCTTTTTAGTGGAGTTGTATAAATTCAAAGGTCAAAGAAGCTACTTGGTATTAGGTTTCCACAAGCAGACATGACAGGCTGAATGGAGATGACCTTCAGGAAGCTGCTGGCTCAACTGGAAGCTCTGAAAAGAGAGTGCTCAAGGAAACGGACCTTCAGCAGGTCAGACTGAAGTAACAGCCAGCAACGAAAATGGCAGGTGACATTAGTGAAGCAGTCAATCCCTGCTAAGTCTGTATTTCTCTGTTCCCAAAAACTTGCCTTTCCGTGTGTGTGTGTGTGTGTGTGTGTGTGTGTGTGTGTGAGAGAGAGAGAGACATTTCTGCCAATAAATTTAAATTACAAATGTAAAAGAAAGCATAGAGCATTATGAAGTATGTAAATTATGTGCTCTGATTGTGTTGTGTTGTCAGGTGTGTTAAATGAGTTTTTAACAGTTAGTTCTGTTGGACGGATTGGTTTTGGAGACCTCCTAAACGACGCGGAGGTACATCATCCTATGGTGGTGGTGGTTTGTGACATTTTTATCAGAATGAAAAGAAAACTGCAAGTTTGACAGTTTAATAGTTTGGTTTTTGCTTTCTCTGATAAGGGCAATTTTTCCTAAGTATAAAATAAATTGGTTTTTTGATTCTCTAATCCTGTATGCAGTTGAAGAGCATTATTCTCTTGTGCTTTAACAGAATGAAGTGTTTACAAAAGCCCTTAAAACATTTTAAATAACCTGAAGATGCACACCAAAGCTTTTCTGAGGGATTTTATAATCATCTTACCGTAAGGTTTTGTCAGGTTCTAAAATAGTTACTGAGGCAATCTTCCATTGAAACCATTGTGTAATGTAGCCTGTGCTACCTTTATAAAAGAAGTGACCGCCGATATATTTTTATAGTGAATCTTTATAAATTCTAATGTTGAGTTTTTAATGATTATTTTAAATGTTTATATAGTTTGTGTAGTAAAAAATTTGTATCTTAAAGTATCATTTTTATATTATGAGAAAAAGTTTTCAATTGGCTGATAATTGAATTGTATGTTTTATATAAAGTTTTATCTAAAGTTCCAGCTGTGGTCAGTACACCAGCATTTAACCTCTGTATTCTAATCTGTGTACACTTGGAAACTGCAAAACTGTTGTGTGCCTACATAGTATGTTTCATATCGTCTATGAAATTAAAGAACATTTGATAAGATTAAGTTTTCCAAATGCAAAATATAATGTTTGACATACGAATGCCAACCAGCAACCACTGTGTAAGATTCTCAGTGTGAGGGATTTTTAACCTTAAAGTGCAGCCAGATTCTAAGCCCGGGGTCTGGGTGTGCTTTACAATAGAGCACACTTGTGCTCTGATTCAGGAAGAACCAGTTACAGTGTGCTCAAGAAAGCTGCTGTTCTGTGGGAACCTAGGACATCATACTGGGGCATCATATTAGTGGTCAGTCACCTAGTCAGTTTGCCATTGATCTTCCAAGGAGAGTTCATTAGTGGGACCACAAAGGGTGTTCCTTACTTTCTTTGAACTGGTTGTCCATCAGCCTAAGGAACTGGGGCGTTCTACACCCCACTGTGCTTTGTAAGCCAGTGTAGCCACAAGTAAGGCTTCTCAGATCTGTTCCATTTTGTTCCTTTAGTGCTGAAGGTTGAACCTCACACTTTGCACATGCCAGATGAGCCCTCTATAGTGAAGCAGCTTCCCGAGGCAGTAAATGATTGTGTAATGACTTTTAAAGCAAAGAGTGAAGAATAGGTATTCCTTAGCTCATGGACTGGTAGAGAGATGTATCCTGACTTAGAATCAGCAGTGAGATGTGGTCATGGTGGTACACATTCCCAGGAAAAAAGATGCCATAAGCACCACAAAGTTGCCACCAATGAGTAAGGCCTGAAGGCTAAGGAGCCACAAGTCAGCCGGGAGGTCTTGGTGTCTGAATGCAGAGCAGGTCTAAACCAGTGATGTGTTATAAAGTAAGATTGTCTCACTCTAAAGTGCATGCATGGCACCCGATCAGGCTGAAGAGTCCAGGGGCTTTTGTAGGTTGGCGCTGCCTGAGTCTTAGGGCCTGTACTGTAGGAGAGATCTGGGACACTTAACTCCCCCATCTACCCATGCCCTCTTTGTTTTTTCATTCTCCGATGGTGGTACCTGCCCTTTAGTTAGTACTGTTGTTGCAGTCACAAAAAGACACTACAAACGAAACGGTTTTGCCATTTCATGATTGAGGTGCTTTTTCTCCAAATAACTGGTAGCATATATAGTCATTTGCTGTCTTCAGCTTGTACATTATATAATGTGTCAACTGAAACAAGTTACTGTAAGTTAAGGTGACTTTACATGTGAACTGGGTGTAGATGTGCACCAAGAACAGGGTGGGGGCAGCAGTTTTATACCTCAGTAACCACAAGTAAAGCACAGGAATGCAGCAGCCTCCCTGTTCCTGTGAACACCTTGTGTCCCTGAGGTCATTGCTTGCTAAGGTTCCAGGAGCACAGACGACTAGGATTGAAACTTTAAGCCCAGGGTAGTGTGTGGTGGACACCTGGGGTCTCAGTTGATCCCAGGGGCTGAAACAGGAGGACCAAGAGTTTAAGACTTGGCCAGGTGTGGTGGCACACACTTTATTTTATTCTATTTTATTTTATTTTATTTTATTTTATTTTATTTTATTTTATTTTATGTGCATTGGTGTTTTGCCTGTGCATCTGTCTGTCTGAGGATGTCAGAATCCCCTGGGACAGTTGTGATTGGCCATGTGGGTGCTGGAAGTTGAACTTGGGTCCTCTGGAAGAGTAGCCAAGTGCTCTTAACAACTGAGCTATCTCTCCAGCCAGATGGCTCACACCTTTAATCCCAGCACCCAAGGGGCAGAAGAAGGTAGATCTCTGAGTTCAAGGCCAGCCTGGTCTGCAGGGCAAGTTCTAGGACAGCCAGGGCTACACAGAGAAACACTCTGGAAAAAAAAGTTTGATTCTCTTACTTGAGGTCATGCATCTGAAACAAACAGAAATGAGTTTAACCACTCAGTAAAACATTAACCCCATGAATTCCATCTCTAGAGCTGAAGGAGAACGCTGACTTTAAAGTTGTCCTGACCACCTGGGCATTCACACACATCCATAGACGCTAATATATTATTTTCAAGATATGGCCCTCCTACCTCCACCCTGGCACACCCTGGCCTTTACCGAACTCCAGTGAGACACTTCTCTTGTGGCTCCAGCACAAGGATTCCTCATATTTGATAAAGGTCTAAGTACAAATTCATGTAGGTACAGAAAACATTTGATATTCTGCCTGAAGCTACACAGTAAATAACAAAAGTGATGTTAAATTCTAGGTTGAGTCAACCCCAAAATTTGTGTTCTTGGTCATTCTGAATTTGTCTTGTCACCAGTGGTTTGGAGCTAGAAGGCTTTTGAGAAAGGAAGCAGAAAGGTTCTGGTCCTTGTCTTAAAATAATTTAAAAACCTAGTCTGAAGATTTTAAAAGGTTCTATTTAGGTGTGTCCACTAGGTGGCAACCCTCCTTTAAAAATCACACTCTACAAACTCAAAACACTAGTATGTAGAAGATAATACGGCTCAGCGGATAAGGGCACTTGTGCCAGGCCTGACAGCATGAGTATGGTCTCCAGGACCCACGCAGTGGAAGGATAAAATGGACTCCCAGAAGTTCTCTGACTCTTACATGTGTACTTGTATGCACAAGAACACGTGAAAATGTCATAAAGCAGAATTGTGTATTGTCCAGGACAGGTGAAACTTTACCTTGAGGTCTGAAGGAAAATACACACAGGAGGCCCCACAGCCCCTTTAAGATTTCTTTCCCATAGGGAGGCAGCTACTTGAGTCCAGTGCACCCATGTAGTGTGTTTATGTTCACTACATATATTCATAGATGTGGCAGTAATTCCAGTCCTGGGGCTGAGACATGAGTTCCAGGCCAGCCTGGGCTCAACAGCAAGGTCCTGTTTGAAAAACACAAAGGCTAAGAAGGTAGCTCAGCTGTCCAGTGCTGGCCATGCAGGCATAATGCTCAGCGTTCAATTCCCAGCACCACATAGACGCAGCCTAGTGACTCTAATGTATAATCCCAACACTGCCAAGGCAGGAGATGGGGCGTGTGAGGCCAGCCTGCCACGTGCCAAAAACAAACGTGGGTGAGGTGGCTCAGCAGTCAGCACAGCTATTCTTGAAGGGGACACAAGTTTGATAAATGTACCCACATTCTGTCCACAACTGCATATAACTCCAGGGTACCCCACATCTCTGGCCCTCAGTGGGTACCTGTATTCAGGTACATATGTACACAATTAAAACTCATCCCAGTACTCAGGAGGCAGCGGTAGGTAGGCGGCTCTCTATGAGTTTCAGGCCAGCCTGGTCTACAAAGTGAGTTACGGGACAGTCAAGGGGTGTAACAGAAACTCTGTCTCCAAAAACAAACAAAACACTCTGCCTTCTCCCCCCCCCCCCATCTTCAGTGGTGCTAGGGATTGAACCCAGAGTAAGAAGAATTAAGGCAAGCCAGGCCCGATGATGCATGTCTCATCCCAGTACATAGTGAGTTCAAGGACAGCCATGTAGAGAGACCTTTTCTCAAACAAAACAGAATTGGGGCAAGCACTCTACCTGCAAGCCACACTGCCAGCCCACCCCACTTTTTTCTCTCCTGCTAGTGCTGAGAATCCTGATTTAACTGGGAGCACATGCAGTCCCCTGAAGACGTCATCTCCGTCTGCCTAGCCCAACTCCAGCATTGGTTTCCCACGTGGTTTCTATGATGTCATCTGTCAGCCTAGCCAAGCTCTAGCATTTCCCACGTGGTTTCTATGGCAGTGGCTGGCACACATAGCTGGTGATGCATCTGTTGTGGTTTGTGAGTTCTTTGAAATCCTCTTGGCACAATTGAGGAGTTACAGCTTCCTCTTCCAGCAAGACAGATTAGTCTATGCAGCTAGGGAGGAGATTTTAATGGCAAAGACCATTCCACTTACTGTTGACAGCCAGAGGCCTAGGATGCTGGTGGTACCCAAAGGCTTTGTCCTGGTGAGCTTCAACTGGCATCTGGGTACAACCTAGAGTCACATGACAGGAAGGCTTCCATTGAAGAATTACGTACATCAGAATGGCCTGTGGGATTGTCTTGATTGAAAATTGAGGACCCAGCCTACTATGAGCAGAACCATTTCAGAAGTAATCCTGAACTGTATAAAAAATCTAGCAGAGCACAAGCTGGCCTGTCTGACTGCGAATGGAGTTCCTCGGACAGAGGTAGCACTGGATGGCATACCAAGCAGGCCAGCCTTCGAGGCCCTGCCCTGAGTTCTCCCAGTGTTAGACTTGTGATCTGGAATTGCAAGCAGAAATAAACCCTTTCTCCCCCATGTTGCTTTTTGTCAGGGCATCTGCCACAACAACAGAAATAAAACGAGGATTGGCTTAGAGTGCTGGACCCTGACGACTTAGGGCCTGTGGCTTTGAAAGCCAAGATTCACATCTCAAGTCTTGGGATCATCACTGAGCTTTGAGTGCCAGTGACCAGCACCCAGAGGGAGGCACAGCCCTGAGTTTCAGGGAGGGCCTTGGTTCCCCACAGCACCTGAGCATGTATGTGTGTGTGTGTGTGTGTGTATAATGTGTGTGTGTGTATATGTATATATATAATGTAGTAGAGGCCCCTGCATGAGTTTGGAAATCAGAGAACAATTTCCAAGAGTTGTGTTAGCCAGGGCTGTACCATTTTGTCCAGCTCCTCCATTGTTAAATGAAGATGATTGCAATCATTTGGTTTTATGAAGTGAAGTAAATCCTTTGTCTAGATTCTTGGCTGCCAGGCCCCACGGACCTCAGTCATGGCTGCCAGGAGGGATATCTGTCACTCACCTAACATCAGACAGGGACAGTGCTTTAACCAACTCACTTGTTTCCTGAGCCGTGGCCATCGGCAGGTCAAAGGCAGAAACTGTGACCTCATTGCTGCCCTGTAACTACCCAGCTGGAAGGTTACGGTCCTGATGAGCCCGCCCCTTGCAGGTCCCCCCCTCAGAAAGGCCTGCACTGTCAGCAAGTCACTTGTCCATCAATCTTTCCTTCTCATTCTTCCATCCAAACCTGGTCTCTCCTTCCATCATGTGGGTTCTAGATTGAAACCAGGTTGTCAGGCTTGGTGGTGAGAACATTTAACCACTGAGCAACCCTGCTCT